AAATGACATTAATTATTAAAATTTGGAGACTAAATTTATACTTTTACATAAAGAAAATTAACTTCTTCTACATGTACAAGTCGACGAGATGGACGGATCCAGGACAGTTCAAGGGAACTTTTTTATCGAATAGATCCTATTGTGTGTTCAGTAGTTCTATAGCCACTACGTGATTGAATTTAAGTTCTAGTAGAACAGATTAAGATTCCCACCACTACATGATTGATTATTCACAATGAATCATTATTAGTTTTATGTATAAAATTTCATCCTATGTTAACTAGTTTCGATCTAGTGTAGCTTGCTACGTATATGACAATTTTATAGTCGAACCAACCTTTAAAAGGGGGTAACAACTTTGTGCATAACTTGACTAATCTCACGGAACCAGTTGCTTGACCCTACAACATTTGATGTTAGAAAACATATAGGAATTAATTTCTATGACAGATGGCTATCATGAGATTTGAATGGATTCTCTCTCAATTTATTTTAGTCCTTCTAGACTAATAAGTCACTCATAATGATTTTTTTTTCTTATTTGGTATCCGACAAAAGAGGGAGAGGAAAATTTTTCGGAAAATTTTAGTGGAAAAATTTTCTTTTTAAGTTTGAAGGGAACTCAATGGATCTTAATTTGAGTTTGTTTCAAATACTTACACACAGAAAATCTGTATTATCTAACCAAGTATAGACTATGGATACTCAGACGTAACTTGGATTATCCACAAGTCATAGATCAATGCACTGTACTCGATCTAAATTTAAACATTTCAAATTAAAATAATGAAAAACTAAAACTAAAACTAAAAAGTCTATTCTAAAACATTGTCATGATGTCTTGAGTTATATATTATGATTTACTTCATTTTCAATTTTATACTCTTGTTATTAATCTCAATTTACTTAACTAAATTATAATTCAAAGTTAACATGATACCACGTAGACAATTTACTTCTCTAATTAAATTTGTAATTCAAAGCAACAATATAATATCATATTGAAAACTGGTATGGTATAACTAACCAACTAATATTTGAACTTTAATAGTGATCGCCCTTTACACTAGAGAAAAAATTGACTACTTTTTCCATACATGCAACCAATATATGTTTATACATGCTATAGCTTTCAAATGATACTACAAATTTTTAGTCAACAATTTAGTTAACAATAAGTATATTGATTTATGTACATGGATATAGATATTAAAAATAAAACAAATAAAAACTTATAAACCAAATACTTTATTTGGAGGGAAAAAATCATAGCATGCGCAAGAGCAGAGGTCAGCCACCAACTTTAGGATACCGACCTGCGAGCTCGCCACCTATAACTTTAAAACTTTGAACAAAGGAAGGAATGCTTGTCATGATTTTGTCTATGTGATCCATGCCGTAATTCCTACAACGAGTCGAAAGATTCTACCTAATCCCTATAAATACATCATCACTCTACTAGTCAGGTATACAATTCTATTTGAAGCCAACCTAGTGATTCATATGAGTGTCAAAATGCTCTTTCTTTACGGGTAGATTTCCCTATTTAGCTCGTTTTGCGCTGCTCGTTCAATCGACTCGCTCTAATCTCAACTTGCAGAATTTGGCAAAAACATACTTTTATTAATAAAGCTCAAAGATAAACATATATATTAATTTTATCCATTGATTGATGTGTGTCTTTTTTTTAATTTCAACAATCTTAAAGTGGAGGATGAAAGCATGAATCTTTGCGGTAATAAGTGCTTTATTTTTAAGATTATGCTAGTAACAGAGAAGTGTGAAAAGATTAATACAAATTTGGACATTTACAAAGTTAAACAAGTGAAATAATGTTCATTTGAGATTTACTAATTACATATATTTTATTACAATATATACTTTTGGGTAAAGGACAAGCTAGTGGTAAGCACGATGAGATTAAAAATAAAAAGATAAAAAACTTTTTCTAGGTTGAAGATCGAAGATGTTTGCCGACAGACAAGTTGATGTAAACATGTCATGTCTGAAGAAAAAAAAAAGGACTTCCAATTATTTTACTGACATACGAACTTTGAATGGGCAACATGCAGTTATATGCTTGACATTTTGGCTCAATCCTTTCTGGTTTCTGTTTTCTTTGTATTTCCTTGAGAAATATTAGGACCCACGTTTTTCGGTTCTTGATTCTTGTTTTTAAATTTTAATGAGAAATCTAAGTATTCTATAATTAGTTATGTTTGTTGTTTTTCGGTTTTTAAAAATATTTTTAAAATTGTATAGAAATTTTCGTTCATGTTTATTGTTTTTGTTTCTTCATTTTTAATAAAGAAAAATGAATTGTATGGTCCCAACATCCTTAAATTTCAGTATGGTAAAATAATCTTTTGATTTATATTTTGGAACAAATTGGAAATGAGAACAAGAAAGAAAGAAACTTGTTTTGGTTGTTTCCGAAATTTCTATACAATTTTGAGAATGTTCCCTAAAAAAGAGAAACAAGAAACATAATTAGTTGTAAAATGCTTAATTTTCTTACAGACAAGTTTCTTAAATTTCTTAAGAAAAATGAAAACGAGAAACAAGAAACAGAAACATTTCGAAACCATTCGTTGTACTAAAAAAACTACTCTTTTCAACAACAATTGGCACCTATATCTAACCAAAAGGTTATGTATTCGAATCTTCCACCTCACTAAAACAACTATTATTTTCTGAAGTAACCTACAAAGTCTTTGACTTATAGTGACGTGGCATTATATTTGTTGAAGCTACTCAGATTATTAAGTTAAAAAAAATAGCTAGGACTAGAGAGAGCTTGGCTTGCACTAATGAAGTGTTTGTTGAAGCTAGCTTGATGAATAAGAAGAAAGTTGTGAAGGTTAATTGGTAGAGAATTGTGTTGAGTCTATATATGAGAATTAGAATATATGTATATAGGACGTCTGAATGATATGTTTTTTTTTTTTTTTCAATGTAGACTAAATTTGAATGAATTTTAATTGGAGATGTACATGAATCTTCCTTGAAGGATGAGAACCCACTATATAGCATCTACATCAAGAATTTCAATATTGTATATTTTATTAGTAGGATCATTTGTAGGAACTATACGTGTTTATGCAAAAAATGGGACGAGGTCAGACCTGGTCAAAGCCGACATGTGGCAGGGCTGAATGGATGCGTCGAGGGAGGACCTGCACAAGAGGGGCAAACTTTCTCACACTCAAGTTAGTAAGCAGCTCGGATTCAAAATAAAGTTATAGGAGAAATTCTATACGTGGTGTGGAAATGGTACCCTCTATTTATAGGTTAGGGATCCTACAAACCTTTCGACTGACGGTTGACAGTGTCACATGTTAGGTCGGACATGTCGGACTCAGCATGTCGACCTTTGAAGCAGATTGTGCCGCCTGCATGATTATCAAGGTGGAAATTGACTAACAAGTGTTCCACCTCAGACAGGTTTGAGGTGGACATGGTTTGTACACGCTGACGTTGGCGATGTCTGTCCTCCACAGGGCGTGATTATTTTCACCCCCAAATAATACGTAATAATAAACTTGCAAAATGAATCTATTTATCATAAAGGAGATTCGTTTTTACTTCGTTTCACTCTCTGATGTGGCGTGACATTAAGCCCAATTGGGAAAGAAAATGAAGTAGGTTTGAGGTAGGCCTTCGTGTATCGTTGGTAGACAGAGGGGTAGGTAAGCCAACAATGACTACTGTTCGGAGATAAAATATCAAGCCGCCACATTGAAGACATGGACTAGTTATCAAAAAGGGTTATCCGAAAGAGCCGGCCTACGGAGCTCCTTCTCGGAACCTTCCGAGGCGAAAGGTTTGTCACTCCCAAACAATTTATAACTTAGAAAGTGTCCAAGTTCGATTTTCTCGAACCCGACACATCCGACCTCAAATCCAACCAAAGTAACCGCCTGTCGTGACTCTTGTCAGAACCTAAACCTATAAATAAGAGGCCTTCAGTTCACCATTAGGTATGAGATTTTCTCCTCGAACTTAATATTGAGTCCAAGCTGCTTATCGACTTGAGCGTCAGAGATTTTGCCCTTTTGTGCAGGTCTTCCCTTTGAGTTTTGGGTCGGAGCAATGACCAGATTCGAGCTAAGCAAACGTTGTGCAAATTCTTGCATGAACATTTCACGCCATCTGTGGGAAGACAATTTAAGCCGTCCCAGCAATTAAAAGTGATCCGAGATGGTGCAGCCAGCAAACTCTACCAATACGATAGAAATGAGAGGTCTAAACGATAACAATGACACTCAACGTGAACTCGATGCCAAAATAGTTGAGGACGAGGTCCGAGCAGGGCAAGAGGTAGATCTACCTCGGAGATCTACTTTCCACACAAATAAGGAACTACCTCCTTCTCATCCAAGACTCGCTAAGACCAACCGAGGTCGAGGTGAGACCTCAAGAAAGACCCTCTGAAGGGCTGCTCCAGTTGCGGATCCTGAAGTTCTGGCTACCCTTCAACGATAGTTGGATGACATGTGCACTCGAGTGCGCACCATGGAGGAAATGTATACCGAGATGACGCGAGCCAACCAGATAGGATCTCCCTCCAAAGTGTCAGGTGGAGACGACATGCCTGATGATGGGGAAGATCAAGATCCACCCCTCCACCACGATAATCATGAACCCATCGCTAATAACGAGGGGGTTGACTATAGCCTGAGAGATCACAATCTCAGGAAGCACCTCGTCGACAAGAAGAGGAAGGCCTCAAGGGGTCCGGGGGTCTCTCCATCCCTGCTCCCAAAAGTACCAAACTTCGACCTCAAGGCCTAGTCAAAGTACACGCCCTTAACACCGGAGGCCGTGATTACGAGGGAAGAGTTCGACCTGATGAAACATAGGTTCGATGAACAAGTCAAGGCATTGAAGGCCAAGTGCGAGAAAAAGGAAAGCCTGTTCGATGATGGCAACGTAGGAGAGTCGCCATTCACCTCGGATGTCCTGAATGCCCTTATTCCTCCAAAGTTTAAAACGCCTCCATGAAGCCTTATGACAGGTCTAAGGACCCCAAGGACTATGTGGAGGTCTTTGAAAGCCTCATGGACTTCCAAGTGGCATCAAACGCCATCAAGTGCCGAGCTTTTCAGATCGCTCTCATAGGGAGCGCTCGACTTTGGTACAGAAGGTTGCCGGCAAGGTCGATCTCGACCTACAACCAGCTGAGGAAAGAATTCATTAGCCAATTCTCTTCTCGGCATTATAACAGAAAGACTGCCACTCACCTAGCTACCGTCCGACAGAAAGAAGGCGAGACCTTGAGAGAGTATGTGACTCGCTTCCAAAAGGAGCAGCTTAAGGTTGCACATTGCTCCGACGATTCGTCCATGTGCTACTTCCTTACCGGCCTGGCCGACGAGACTTTGACAGTCAAGTTAGGCGAGGAAGTGACGTCGACCTTCGTTGAAGTTCTACAGAAGGCCAAGAAAGTTATAGACGGGCAGAAGCTGCTCAGAACCAAGCTAGGCCGGGCAGACAAGAGTACCAACTAGAAGAAGTCAGGTGGCCAGGGAAAGGGGAAATCTGAACTAAGCCTAAGGACAAAGGATCATCTTCCTAGGGTCGATCTGATTACAAGAGATCCGACTCGGACTCCAACTGTCGGGGGCCTTATGACAGGTACACCCCGACCACCATTCCAATCTCCGAAATTCTAACCAATATCGAGGAGAACGGTTTGGAAAAACTCCTCAAGCGACCTGATAAGCTTAGGGGAGACCCAGAGAAGCGCAACAAAGACAGGTACTGTCGTTTCCATCGTGATCATGGTCATGATACCTTGAGTTGCTGGGAGTTGAAGCACCAGATTGTGGACCTTATTCAAGATGGCTACTTCAAAAAGTATGTTGATAAGCCGGGCTCGGCAGGGAAAAAGAAGAGAGGAAACGTTCAAGGATGCCACCTCGAAGGGATGACCGACCTGCGGTCATCAATACCAATTTTGGTGGCCCTAGTGGGGGCTAGTCTGTGAACAAGAGGAAGGAGCTTGCTATGGAGGCTCGTCGAGAAGTTTGCACCATCCAAGAGTAAAAGCCGACCTGCCCTATCTCTTTTTCTGACTTCGATTTGGAAGGGGTACACTTACCCCACAACGATGCCCTAGTAATCTCACTACTCATAGACCATGTCCAGGTCAGAAGAGTACTGGTGGATGGGGGCGCTTCTGCCAACATTCTGTCCCTCAATACTTACTTAGCACTAGGATGAACTAGGGCACAGCTGAAGAAGAGTCCAATTCCCTTAGTAGGATTCGCAGGTGAGTCTGTCACCCTGGACGGTTGCATTGATCTTCCCATCACTGTTGGCCAAGGTGACACTCAAGTTACTCAAATGGCCGAATTCATGGTGATAGATGGTAGGTCGGCCTGCAATGCCATTTTCGGACGACCTATTGTCCACTCACTTCGCGCCATCCCATCGACTCTGCACCAAGTCATGAAGTACTCCACAGTTAATGGGGTTGGCGTGATCCGAGGTGAGCAGAAAACATCACGTGAGTGTTATACATCAACTCTCAAGGGGTCGGCAGTCTGCGCCTAGGAAGAAATGGAAAATCTTCCAAGTCTGGCAGCTCGAGCTTCCGAGGACGAGCAGCCCAAGACCAACCAACCGAGGTGGTTGCGCCCACTGAAGAGTTGGAGCTTGCCCTTTACTCAGCCCAGAAAAACAGGTGAGCATAGAAACCAAGCTGAGGGTCAGCGGACAGGGAAGAGCTCATCTTCTTCCTCAGGGCGAATTCAGACGTGTTCGCATGGTCGCACGAAGACATGTCGGGCATTGATCCGAAAATAATGGTTCACCACCTCAACATCGACTCATCATTCCGACCTGTCAAGCAAAAAAGAAGACTTGTAAATAAGGAGAGGAGTGATGTAATTGTTGAGGAAGTGAACAAACTTTTAAAAGCTGAATACATCAAAGAAATTTTGTATCTTGAGTGGCTCTCTAACGTGGTCTTAGTTAAAAAATCTAACGGGAAGTGGATAATATGCGTAGATTTCACCAATCTCAACAAAGCTTGTCCAAAAGATTGTTTCCCACTACCAAGGATCGACCAGCTAGTGGACGTTACTGCCGGGCACGAGCTGCTCACCATCATGGATGCCTACTATGGATACAACTAGATAAAAATGCATGAGCCAGATCAAGTCTACACCTCTTTCATAACCGATCAAGACATGTACTACTACAAGGCCATGCACTCCAGTCTAAATAATGTATGGGTGACCTATCAAAGGATGGTGAGCAAAATGTTCGCTAGCCAGATCGGACGCAATATGGAAGTCTACGTGGATGACATGCTTGTCAAAAGCAAGCAGTCCAGGTCGCACCTAGTCGACTTGACTGAGACATTCGAGGTACTCCGAAAGTACAAAATGAAGTTAAATCCTGCGAAGTGTGCCTTTACGGTCTCGTCTAGCAAGTTTCTAAGGTTCATGGTTAATAATCGTGGCATTGAGGCTAACCCGGAAAAGATAAAAGGCGTTCTTGAGATGCAAGCATCGAGGACCATTAAGCAGCTACAATGCCTTAATGGGAGAATTGTCGCTCTCAACCGGTTCGTCTCCAGGTCTACCGACAAGTGCATCCCCTTCTTCAAGGTGTTAAGAACGAAGGGGACATTCGAGTGGATAGATGAGTGTGAGGCAGCTCTTAAGGAACTCAAAAACTACCTCTGCTCGGAACTGTTGCTCGCGAAGCCCATGCCAGGAGACAAGCTACATTTGTACTTGGCTGTATCAGCTAACGCAGTTAGCTCGGCCCTAGTTAAGTAGGATGAGGTACGACAAAGTCCTGTCTACTACACAAGTAAAGTCATGACCGAGGCCGTGACCAGATATCCCCAAATGGAAAAACTGGCCCTCGCTTTAGTCACTTCGGCAAGAAGACTGGGACCGTATTTCCAAGCCCATACTGTGACCGTGCTCACAAACACGCCCTTGAAGCAGGTTTTCCATAAGTCGGAGATGTCTGGACGTTTGATGAAATGTGCTGTGGAGTTGAGTGAGTATGATATCCAGTTCGAGCCCCGAAGGGCTATAAAGGAGCAGGTCGTTGCCGATTTCTTGGCCGAGCTCACTCCTCCACCAACTCAACCTCCGCGTCCGACCAGCTGTGGATGGTGTATGTGGTCGGTTCTTCAAATGAAAAAGGGTGTGGTACAGGTGTGCTCCTCCTCGCCCCGGATGGCATGCGTTTTGAGTACGCTCTACACTTCAACTTTCGCACCTCGAATAATGAGGCCAAGTATGAAGCCCTGTTGGCCAGACTACGCATGGCAAAAGGTCTGGGGGCCACCCACCTTCAAATCTTTAGTGATTCACAACTCGTAGTGAGTCAGATTAAAGAAGAGTATCATGCAAATGATTCATGGATGGAGAAGTATTTATATGTTTCAACCCGAAGGGTTCATAGCTCAAGGTCAAGAGCAAAAGGTTTGCAAGCTTAAACGGTCCATATATGGACTGAAATAAGCATCTCGATCTTGGAACATAAGGTTCGATACTGCGATCAAATCTTATGGTTTTGACCAAAATGTTGATGAGCCTTGTGTATACAAAAAGGTCGTCAACAATACTGTAGCCTTCTAAGTGTTGTACGTGGATGATATCCTACTCATTGGGAATTATGTAGGATACCTCACTGACATAAAGAAGTGGCTAGCGACTGAGTTTCAAATGAAGGATTTGGGAGAAGCTTAGTATGTTCTTAGCATCCAAATTCTAAGGGATCGTAAGAACAGAATGTTAACCTTGTCTCAAGCAAATTATATCGACAAGATGCTTGTTCAATATTCGATGAAGAATTCCAAGAAAGGTTTATTACCCTTCAGGCATGGAATTCATCTGTCTAAGGAACAATGTCCTAAGACACCTCAAGAAGTTAAGGATATGGACATATACCCTATGCTTCAGCAGTGGGCAGTCTGATGTACGCTATGCTCTGCACGAGGCCTAACATTTGCTATGCAGTAGGGATGGTCAGTAGGTACCAATCCAACCTAGGATATGATCATTGGACTGCTGTTAAGGGAATCCTCAAGTATCTTAGGAGAACGAGGGACTACAAGCTCGTGTATGGCTCTAAGGGTTTGATCCTTACAAGATACACTGATTCTGACTTTCAAACAGACAAGGATTCAAGAAAATCCACGTCGGGGTCAGTATTCACTCTTAACGGAGGAGCGGTAGTTTGGCGAAGCATCAAACAAGGATGCATCGTTGACTCCACCATGGAGGCTGAGTACGTTGCAGCTTGTGAAGCAGCAAAAGAGGCGGTTTGGCTTAGAAAAGTCTTAACAGATTTGAAAGTCGTTCCAAACATGAACTTGCCCATCACACTTTATTGTGATAACAGTGGTGCTGTGGCAAATTCTAAAGAATCTCGAAGCCACAAGAGAGGCAAACACATCGAAAGGAAGTACCACCTTATACTGGAGATAGTGAAACGAGGAGATGTGATCGTCACAAAGATAGCTTCGGAGCACAACATTGCTGATCCTTTTACGAAGGCACTCACGGCTAAAGTGTTTGAGGGCCATCTAGAAAGTCTAGGTCTATGAGCATTGTACAGTTAGTTTAGGGCAAGTGGGAGAAATGTAATGGGTATAGTGTATGCCCTAGGTATAGTGTATGTCCTAGTTTATTGTATTTTCCTTTTGCTTTATGATAATGTACACCCCACTCAAGTTTAGTTCAAGTGGGAGTTTGTTGGGTGTGTTGCCCTAAACTCGTAGTTTGTATTTTGTGTAAAAACAAATGTATATTCAATAAAGTTTTATTTAATAAATTTGTTGTTGAATACATAGCATTGGATTGCCAAAATCCAATAAACTAAACATCCGAGGTTATTTTAGTGTAACTGGGACAATATATGTACTGGGTATCTATTTGATATATTGGGTATATAATTAATATACCCTTGATATACGAGGTATATGTTTGATATACCTCTGATATACAAGTGGATAATGTCCCGTGAATAACTTAAAGCGTCTATAGTATATGGATAAGGTTGGGTACCTTATCCTGACAACACTATGGATACGGCCCACTCTGTAAAGGTTACAGACAACTCGATCCAGGTCGTTTGTGTGGAGACATGCTAGTGGGGGTATCCTATACAATGAGTTTGTATAAAACCGGACCACGAAATAGCCAATCTTTAGATGTAACACCGTTAACTAATAGATTGCTGTTTCTTAGGATGACCAGACAACTCATTATCGATCCTGAGTGAGTTATGGACTTCTGCCCGTGAGGGCTCGTCCTTTGATCTATATGGGTGAGAGTGTCCCGAGTAGCCGACTCAACATTCCTACCATTTTAGAGACGAGACCGAGTGGGAAGCTGGGAACATAACTTCACAAGATGTAATTCATTCCTCCCCGACTTTAGGGGAGTATATGAGTGTTCTCTTAAATGCTAACTCCGAACTTGAACAAAGGGCCCCACCCTCTCATAGGCCCGAGAGGGACCTATTGGTCAGACCATAACCGGGTTGTTCATTAGAGGAGTAGTGGTATTTAAGGAGTAAGATGTAACTCAGGGGTAAAACGGTAATTTGACCCAAGTTGAGTTACGAGCACTTGTGAAGGATTGACTTGTCATTTATGGTCGTATATCCGTGGACACGAAAACATTCTGCAGTGAGAAGAGTGCAACAGCGGGTCTTTAGTGGAGTGACCTATAGTTAACGAATGTTGATTAACTCGGTAAATGAGTTTGACCGATTAATCTTGTATCCTTGGAGCTTCTGATCTGTAGGTCCATTAGGTCCCCTTGCTAGCTCATAATAGGTAAAACGAGGATCAAGTTTTTGGAAGAATTTGAACTGTTCAAATTACTTAAGGGATTATATGTATATTTATACATTATAATATATAGTTAATTCTAAATTAAAACTATATATTATGAGAGAAATTATTTG